CACACACACTTCCGCACCCTCACGTACACTCACGTAACCAAAGCTGTTTGTATTAACAAGAGTGTGTGGGTTGGTTACTTATGTTTGCTGAAGTGGTTAATACACTGAGGTTGTTTATTGAATTATTCTCCTGTTATTTTTATGTGATCTCTTAAGAAAGAGTCATTTATATCTGGACTACAAGGGGAACAGGTGTTCCCAATTCTAGTGGGCACTCGGTTGTTTACATAAAAACAGCGGAGTGTTACAAGGTCAACCCTTTCTCAGAGGTAAGATGTAACATTTTCCAAGGACAATCAACTCTTTCCCAGAGGCAAGAAGCCTCCAAATGACATTTTTATTTTACACTCTTAATAATTGTTTGATATCTACTTTGGTCTTTCACAGTCATCTGTTTGAGGGAAATCCCCTGACTATACAAATTCTGCTACAATTGTTTCCTATAGGATGAACAAAATATTTCATCACCCCCCCCCTATTATTAATTTCCACCCTACTGTCTTTTCTCAGAGTGCAATTCCACAAGTCAGCCCCTTCCATCTTCTGTCTAAGGACCAGTAGTGGTCCACTTTTTCACTAACAAATGGTTGCCTCAAATGCATTCTGTAGAATGGTGAGTTCATGTACTCATTGGCTTCACAATCGCGTTTATTCAGCCATCACCACAAAACCATCTGATGGTAGCCAACAGTCTCACCTTCCTCATGTCATACATGTTCAAAACACTTGCAACCCGTGTGACACGTGCACCATAAGACTTCCGAACACAGTGCCGCCAGATGACAGCCGGAATACATCCATCTATACATGCACATACCACGAAACAAATATGCGAAATCATCGACTGACACAAGTTCCTTGTTCCTATGTTCCTTTTTAGTTCTGGTCATTGACACTAGTTGTTGTCATTAGTCACGTGTTCCTTTGTTCTAGTTTCCCGCCACTCATTAGTTACTATGGACACTAACTCTAATCATCACAGCTGTTTGTCATTGTCTCATCACCTCTGTTATGAAACTGCTCCGAGACTTGAAAGGTTGGAGATCCAAACGCAGCTTTTATTGAGTAATCCAGAATCATAATCCATTCAGTTTTTAATCATCGTCTTCATCTTCCTTGAACTAAGAATTACATCATCCTTGTGATACCTTGTTATATAACTTCTTCTTTGTCATTTGCCAGATCAATGCAGGGGAACTTTGTCATTAATATTAATTTTTATTTAGGTTTTTAACCTATGCAGTGTCGCTTTTCCACATCAAGACATCCTGTTATGCAGAAGACTTCTTGAATGTATTCAGTATTTTTCCTCATTTAAAATAAGGTATTTTCACCAAATAGCCTGTGTTGGAATTGATCTATCAACAAAGTGATGTGATAAAAATGTCAACCTTGTTATCTGTGTTCTGTATTTTGCTGAATGTGTTTATTATTTCCTACATTTTTCTTTTGGGACAGTGACAAAAAAATTGCTACTACAATTTAAAATTGGACCAACAACACGGTTTGGTAAAATCATATTTTTTGTTCTGGGGGTGATTTTTCTAATCTCTTTTACATCCCCCTTATCTTAGTTTTTAATAAAAAAATGTTTTTAATATTTTTTTCATGCCACAGAATCCTTTAGCATTCACAAAAATATTTGTTCCAACACACGTAATTGCACACACAACACAGCCAGCTCAATTAGTACTTTAGATAAATAGTTAATACAACACATTTAACACCCAACACTAAGACAACTAATGTCACACACACAGCACACTCAATATCACACACTTTTTCAACATTTAAACAAACACTGGACAAACTCGGCCCATAGACTGACAGATTAACTTCTCACCTCATGAGCACCTCAGTGCAGACCTTTCCTGCGTGGCACATGCCATAAGGTGATATTTGCAGGGGTTTTTTTTACACCTAAACTTCAGTGTTTTTTTTTACACCTCTTTCTGGTGTTTTCACACATGTGAGTCAGTGTTGCCCAGTCTCGCGAGACAAATAAGCAACCGCAGCTTCAAAACCAAGCGCAATATTATTATATTATTTAGTATCATCAATATAATTTATTAGCAATAAATGAGCCTGCAACATATTAAAGGCATAATATGTAAGATTTTTTCGCCACAAGAAGGCGCAGTTTCCAACAATAACAAACGCGTAGGTTGATGACGCAGTGATGAGCTGAATGATGGGACTTGCTGTTAAGCTGATGGATCTAATAATGTTTATGGATGAGTTCAAACATTTATGTTTTTTAACAGTACAGTGGTATGAAGCAGGTCGCGATTGCTAAAGAGACAGATATCACACACGAGTCCCGTGGATATAAAGGAATAAGGACATTTAATTCTACCGAACTACCCGCAGGTGCTGGATTACTCACACAGGTCAGTTTATTAGACGAATGAACTTGTGAGGTAATGCAGCGCTGCTTCACTTGGTCTAACGTTACACTATCACACTAAACAGCATTTAAATGTGTGTTGAAAGTTATAATGTTATACTACGTGTTAGTTCGTTTGCTATACGAAACTAGCAGTAACGTTAAGCTAGATCAACATTAGAATAACACTGATCATATTCTAACATTTCATCATGTTGAGTTATATAACATTGATTTGTTTTATGTACATTAGCTCACCTGTCTAATAAAGCTGTCAAGTCGTGACTCGTGAAGCTCTGTCGAGTCCAAGTTAGTCGCGGACGTGGAGCTCTCGGCATCTCAAAAACGCCACGCTGATATTGATCCTCATTTTAGTTCTCCTTGTTTGTCCCGAAGTCTGCTTGCCATGGTCTATGTTTGAAACATGCCGCTAAACGCTACGCACTACGCAGTTGTCCACGTCTGTCGCCATAGTTACGTCATGGCTATGGCTGTATGAACGGAAACCGAGGATAGCGTGGATATTGCGTCATTGACAGGCGACATTTTTTTCCGGGACGGCCACTTATTTAAAATTGGAATTTCTCTGAAATAAAAAATCTTTGGAGACTTTTGGGATATTGTAAGTACACAACTGCAGGAAATATATCACACTGTGCAAGTGATTTTTGGATATTTTATTACAAAATTCTTATATATTGTACCTTTAAACTGAAACTTCTCGTAACATATTATGTTACAAAGTCAATTGCAACCAATCGGGGCCAAGGCCTCTAGATAGAAAAAGTACCCGTGCCTGCAGAGCAGGGACCTCTAGTTGTAAAATCTCACAAATGTGGACGGTGAGGACCAGCCTGCCGCCGCACAGATGTCTTCGATTGGTACACCACTGGACCAAGCCCATGAGGAGCCCGTGCCTTTAGTAGAATGAGCTCTAACACCTATGGGGCATTGGAGGCCTATGGAAGCGTAGGCTAGAGAGATAGCGTCTACTATCCATCTGGATAGTCTCTGTTTTGTGACCGGCAGACCTTTAGTGCGGCCACTGAAACATACGAAGAGCTGTTCCGACTGTCTGAGTGTGGTGGAGCGCTCCAGATAGATTCTGAGAGCCCTATTTATTATTAAAGACTATTATTATTCTTTTGAAATTCCTCCATCATGTGCTCATTACAACCAGAGCATGACACTTTAAAAAAAGCAGGATGTTTAAAAGTGTATTTTAATAAAAGTTTATTTTGATAATTCATTGCTCGCCTCATTAATCCATTAAACCAAACATTTGTGAATTTCACTTTCATTAAGATTTTAAAGTTTTTAAAGATTTTAAGATTTTTAAAATCTTAAGATTAGACAGACTGTCTACTAGACAGACGTAAAAAATGTTGTTGTTTTTTTTACATGATTTCAAATTAAAGAAATAAAGTTTTTTTTAAGTGAACCAATTCAGTGTTTTGTTTTATTTGTCTCCAATTCATTTCTTCATTTGTACTTAAATATTTTTGCATCATATTACTAAACAATTTCAGTGCTTTCTATCTATCTACCTGCCAGCCATAGCTTATATTTACTGCTAAATGACCTTTGAGTGCCGCTTGCAGCGATCATATATTATCAATACACTCATTTCTTTCAAAGAACTTAAAAAAAAAAAAAAAATTTATTTAAATTTCCTTAAAAATGTTTTCACCCGAATCTTAATCATTCATGCTGAAGAGCCCCTGTCATGTTGGAGTATTTGAGGTTTTCATCGTGCAGAAGAGTGAAGCTTCTGGTTTTGTGGATGGTGTTACTAAAGTCATGATGCTTTACAAAATGACTAATTGCTCTGCTAAAACCTGAGAAATTATGAGTCTCTTCTTAAGTGTTCATCCCATTACATGAAGTCAAATATATTGTTGCTACTTGCTAGCTCTGATAAATGAAAAAGATGAATTTGACTAGTAAATCATTTAGAAGATTCATCTTTTGGCATCACAAATCTAAACATTTGAATCAGAAAAATAAACAGGTTTGTTTGAGCTGATTTGTATCTCTTTGATTGATCATAAAGTAGCAGAAAGGTTTGGAAATGCTTCTTGAAAATAAGCTGAACTGAAAAAGTACTGGGGTTTTTTAACCACCATTATTAACAATTACTAGTATTACTAATATTACACGATCTGAGGATATCAGGTGGAAAAAAGGCCTTCATCTCAGACAGACAGGAACTCAGGTTTGTAGTGTGAAACCACATTTACCAGATCTTCACAAGTAATAAACAGATGACCTATATAAATGAACTTGATGCATCACATAAAGGCATCTTCTTCATCTCTTAGTTTGAAGAGTCGTTGTCGTCCGGCTGGGTGCGAATTACCTTTCTGATCTTTTCCTCGCCTTTGACAAAACGAGACAACAGTATTCTCAGGTAAGTTTGTGGTTAAGGTACAAGGTCAATATAACACTTCCATCTCAGCTTAAGTGATTATATATGATTACAACAACTTCTTCTATCTGTCAGAAAGTACCATATGAATTTGAACTAGTAGCCTATGTAACAAGTTGATGAGCACAGTTTAATTGTACAAATGTATGTTCATATTCCGTTCCATTATATTTTGAATTATAGATATGTTGTTTCTGGTTGTCTTACAGAATCTGTTCTTCACTAGATCTACTAGACCATCGGAGGGATTTGACTAAATCAAGATGCTGCTGATCATTGAAGCTCTTCTCATTGTAGCTGCTCTAGGACCGGTAAGCTTGTGTTCCAGTATGAATATTACAGACATTAATACTGATGATGTGATTATTATGATTCCTGTTGCTGCAGGATCGCAGAGGTGCTTTTGAAGACAGCATTTCATTGGATATGGCAAAAAACTCTGTTGATGACCAGTATTACAGCTGTAGAAAGAACATGTCACATCTGGTGGAGACAAAATATCTGAAGGAGGAATTTGAAAACTCACCCAATTTTAAAAATGCTTGGAAAAGGGGTAAAACCTTTACCAGTAAATGGAACATTTTCAGCGAACTAAAAAGAAAACATAAAATTGCCATATACGTGTACACTGATGAGGATGTATATGGCCAATTCAATCGTGACACTCGCAATGGCAAACGAAACATCTTAGGCATGACATACAAATGGTATTCTCTTCACTTTCTGTTAACAGAAGCAATACATATTCTGAAGAAAAAACAAAACAGGTGCTTTGATACTTTTCGTGGTTCAAATGTTGACCTTAATGGGCGTGTTAACACAGACATTCGTTTTGGCTCATTTACATCATCCTCTCTTAATCAAAACAAGGCAAAACATTTTGGAACAAAAACTTGTTTTATAATCCGCACATGTGAAGGTGCTAATGTGACAAAATATTCTAAGTTTCCTGGTGAGGAAGAGGTGCTGATTCCTCCATTTGAGAAGTTTAATGTCACCGAGGTCAAGACAAGAACTAATCAGCCAGATCTCTGGTGTGAGACAGTGTTTGTGTTGACCAGCACTGGAATAAGAAGTGACCTGAACTGTGCTCTATTCAATGAACCAACCAAGACCACAAATATGAAAAACATCTCTGGGGTTTACTTTGAGAAGATATGGAAAAATAAGTGACCTGAACTGTACAGTAGCTTTCTTTAATGTTGTACACCTTTTTTTTTATTATATTATTTAGTTTAGTTTAGTTATAGTGTTTAGTTAGTTACTGCATGTGTTTTGCTGTTATTGAGTCTTGGTTGTCTTGTTTCTTTAAATCGCAGCATTTGTCTGATTGTATGAATAGGTTCACAATGTAAACTTCAGAAAAATAGAGTGCTTTGTTTTTTTTTTCCTCTTTCTCAGATTCAACTTCTGTCAACCAATAAATCTCTCAAAGCATCTTTTCCCCTTTCATAATTCTCTTTGATAAACAAAACTCGCCGAGTCTCGGCTAGTATAAGCTATATTGAGTCATTACGTCACATCTGTACGCATAAAGAAGAGTCTTGCTAGTATAAGCTATATTGAGTCATTACGTCACATCTGTACGCATAAAGAAGAGTCTTGCTAGTATAAGCTATATTGAGTCATTACGTCACATCTGTACGCATAAAGAAGAGTTTCGGCTAGTAGGCTGTGAGTGTGAGGATGCTGGAGGTGGAGATTCATAGCCTTTTCTCACAGCACTTGATATAATTAAACTTATCAAATTGATGGAGGATCCAGAAAGGTTCAAACGCCAATCACCACCAGTGACAATTGGTATTATTGAGTTTACTTAGGACTGTATTTGCACTTGTTCAAACTAGCTGTGCTCGCACTGGTCAGAACACAGGAAACAGGAATCAGAAGTAACAGTTTTAATTAGGTCCAGCATGAATATTTAGCACAATGAACGGCACAGTCAGATCACAGGGCATTGAATGGCACTATCCTATTAGACATGGTATCTGAGATAGTATGTTGTGTGGTCTGAAACAGTGAATAATAAACAATAATTAGATAATATCAAACATTTCCATTATCATTAATAACAGCTGGCATTTATCCCAATATCGTTCTATTATGAACATAACATTATATACTGTAATAGCGATTTTTCCCACTAGGTGGCGCGTAGCGCTCATAAACGGAATTATCCGAAATGTCTTTGCTCAGTCATTACACAATAAGCTAACAAATCTATATAATCACAGAACGGATCTATACATTATTTAAACATACATTTATACACAGTAAAGCATTAATCAGTGATTGTTATTATTCTGAACTCAAGTATATTTGGAATATACTTGAGTATACATGTTAAATGAACATCTTAGGCTAGAATCTAAGATCGTCGTCACCTCAGACAAACAAACTCCCGATGGTTTGATTATTCATAGTATGTGACATCCGATAGAAACACTCAGTAAATTGCTTACATGGTATCATTGACGCACAACTTAAGCATATCCACTTTGACCATGAAAGTAAAGTTAAAGGCACACTGTGGAACTTTTCAACCTTTATAATATATTACCAAAACCCATTGAGATGGTACATCGACTTACAAAAGGTTGAATGACACGTCTGCCGAAGCCTGAAGGTGTCTGTATCGCTTTTACCAGCACTATGTAACTTAGGGTTTCGGGTAGGAACCCGAGCACAAAAAGAACTACAAAATTCAACCGCTTTACGGCATACGTCACTTCCCCCACCACCCCAACTTCCTCACATTCTAACGTGAGAGCTCAACTCGCGTTTGATTGCCGGCGTCTGTATGTTGTCGTCATGACTGAATCAACAGCTACTCGGAAGAAAGCGAAGAAAGCAAAGATTTTGTCAGAGGAGACCAAAAAAAGAAAAAGGGAGAGTTTAAAATAAACATCGGCATAAAAGTGTATATAAAATGTAATATTTACTGCGAATTCGTGTAACAAAACTGATATAAGTCACAATACTGCCGTATACAAATGTAAATGTTTTTTTTTTTCCTTTCAGCTCATATGTGTTTGTATTTGTGTAAAAGGAAAATCAAACTGAAGACTACAAATAACGGATATATGTAGTGAGTTATATCAGTTTTGTTACACGATTTCCCGACTACTCGATTTCATCTCCAACCCATTGCAAAGAGATCCTGAAGACGTTAATTGTTTGCTTCAGGTGTGTTTGATTAGGGTTGGAGATGAACTGTGCAGGACAGACGATCGGCAGGAGCAGGATTGGGCAACCCTTGTCAATGCGACTTACCTGACTTTGTTTTCTGCGTATGCTACTTTTATTCAATTTGTTTTCTTTATAGGATTTATATTATTAATCTTATATTTATATTATTATTTTGGTCAGTAGTGAATCGATTAACTTTCTCCAACATACAAATCAAATGCCGTCTGCACACACATAAAGACACGGGAGGTTGACCGGTTGACTGTTTGTTGACTTTTGCGACAATGCTGCGGCGCTTGTGGCCTCTAGGGGCACTAGACGTGAAAATTACAGGTCGAGCGCACCCTAGTGGCCAAAAATTCCACAGTGTGCCTTTAAGTGCACATCCTGGAGAAACTCAAGTGGTACCTAGCATGGTAGGCTCATCAGGAACAGAAAGTGGCTGACGCAATGGAGCAACAACCAATCTGATTGGTTGCTCCTTCCCAACATCACCGCCCCCAAATATGTTGAACATATTTGCTACTTTAATGGAACAGTCATTTAGGGGGATCTGAGTCGTTGTCATGTTCGTCATCTGCAAGGACTGGAAGTGGGATTAGTTTTGCAACTGGCCGAGTGTATACTTTATTCTTCACTTGGATTTCCACTGCTCTGATATGACCATCTGATCCAGGAAAGGTCTTAACTACCTTGCCGACCAACCACATGGCACGTGGGAGTTGTGGGTCTACAAGCATAGCAATAGTTCCCGGGGAAATGTCACTCGTGTCTTTACACCACTTGTGACGAGCTTGGAGTTTTGGCAAGTAGTGGCGCATAAAGCTTGACCAGAATTGATCAGTTAGCACCTGGCTTTGCCTCCATCTCCGCCGCCCCATGAGCTCTGTAGCTGGATATATAACAGGTGGTAATGAACTATCAGGCCGCCCCATGAGTAGGTAATTGGGCGTAACTGGGTCAAAGTCAGCTACATTGGAAGATGTGTACCCAAGAGGTTTACTGTTCAGGATCCCTTCCACTTTAATAAGCACTGTCAGGAGCACTTCCTCAGATACTGTCTGTGAGCCGATGGTGATACGAAGAGCATTCTTTACAGAGCGGATCTCTCGTTCCCAGGCACCCCCAAAGTGTGGAGCACTTGGTGGGTTGAAATGGAAAGATATTTTCTGCTTGGCCAGATGCTGTTGCAGTTGAGGGCTGAGAGATGCAAAGGCCTCTCGAAGTTCTCTTTCTCCACCATGAAAGTTTGTGCCATGGTCTGAGAATAATTCACATGGTTTGCCACGGCGGGCTACAAACCTCCGCAGGGCCATTAAGAAGGAATCAGTATCTATAGAGGTAAGCAAGTCGAGGTGAACACATCTTGTGGTAAGGCACTTAAAGATTATCCCCCATCTCTTCTCACTGCGTCTGCCAATTTTGATTTGAAATGGTCCGAAACAATCCATGCCCGTACTAAAGAAAGATGGTTTCTGGAGTCTCAGTCTGGCTGGTGGCAGATCTGCCATCTTTGGAATGACTGGTTTGCCTTTCCACTTGCGACATTCTTTGCATAGATGTTGCTGCCTACGGATAGCTTCACGCCCTCTCAGCACCCAAAAGTTTCGCCGTATTTCCGCAAATACCCTCTCTGGTCCGGGGTGGCAGAGCTGGTCATCATATTCTTTTATTAGTAGTTTGGTGACTATGTGATAAGGATCTAGCACTATAGGGTGGATCACTGATGGCTCCATTCCTTCTGCACGACGAAGACGACCACCAACTCGGATTACCTGGATAGATTCATCATATTCTGGGGCTAAGGTTAACAGCCGGCTGGTGGAGAGAATTGGTCTTTTCGCTTTGAGCAGGCTGTACTCCTCAGGGAAACTATCATATCCTTCTGAAAGAGGAGCATTTCTGCAGCTTGGTAGTTCGCTGCGGAAGGGGTTCCATTGGGTTTATGAATTCGAACTGATGCTTCAACGAGGTCACTCCAGGAAGTATAGTTGGCCGGGTCAGGAATGTTAGGGGCAGTAGTTTCTGTTAGTAATCCACAGAAAATACCCTTTCGCTGTTCGTCTTTATCCATGGGATCTTGTATAGGAGGAGTAACTGGCCATTCCGGTTCGGGTCGGAGCAAGTATGATGGACCTTGGCTCCACCTGTTGGGTATTGATAACTCTGCAAGCATTTTACCTCGGGTAAGGTCATCAGCTGGGTTACTGTACGAGTCTACGTACCTCCAGGTACATCCAGTAGTCAGTTCCTGGATCTCTGCAATCCTCGTCCCAACGAATACTTTGAATCTGCAGGATTCAGACGTTATCCATGCAAGGACAGTTGTGGAGTCTGTCCACATGACCACTTTACTGATTTCTAAAGTGAGTTCAGCTTCAAGGAGTTTGGCCAGTTGAGCACCATTCAATGCCCCACATAATTCCAGTCGGGGAATGGTTTGTTGTCGCTTAGGAGCAACTTTAGATTTCGCCATAATGAACGCTAGCTGAACTTGGCCTTGTAGGTCTTCTGACCGTAGATAGGCGACGGTAGACTTGTAGTCGAGACCGCCTAAACCGAGACCAAGACACTACCAAGACCAGATGGTATCGAGACCAAGACAAGACCAAGACCAAGACCAAGACAGACCAAGTCGAGACCAAGACCAAGTCGAGACTAAGACCGAGACCAAGTCGAGACCGGAGGGGAAAAAAACATTAGTGTTGAAGCTAAGCAATAACTTGTCAAATGTTGTTTTGCATTTGCCTGCCTATCTCTGCTGATTTCGAAGTCTCCAAATGAATCCATTCTGCAACTTTTAAATACATAATTATATTCAAAAACGAAATTATAGGCTTAAGTGCAGGATCCGAAAGTTGGTCGTTTTTGTCGCTATGGTTACACACACACACACACACACACACACACACACCGTTGGCGGTGCGCTCAAAGTCATCTGTCAGTTGTGCAGTTACCCAAAATCTCCTGAATGATGGTAAAACCCATCATGTCACTGATATGTGTTTTACTAAATATTAATA